GTAATAAGGATTCCCTACAAATTTTTGGTTACCCTGGTATAAAATAGAATGAAACGCAATTATTTCGGGGATGGTTTTTACCCAAAATGTGACACCTGTGCACGAAAAATGTAATATCTTACGTAATTTTTAATATCCTGCGTGCATGATTACAGCTTTAGATGACAACTAATGAAAGTGCTGTGATTTCTTCAAAAGACGACGATCGCAAGTGAAAAGTTTATTTAAAATAATTGTAGTAGATGTATCTCTATGTAGGAGGCAAAGAGATCAAAGTAACTCATTAGTAATTCGCAAAATTAGCACTTGGTAAATAGATCCTATTTTTCAAGATATTTACCCAGGGTGTTCTATTTCACGGGAGAGAGTACAACTATTCAGGACCCCATTCTGCATTAAAATGGATATTTAAAAGTCTAAAATCTCTCCCTCCTAGTCGGTACAATATCCTGTCACCATAGGACAAAAAATAGATCTGGGGATAGTATTTCTGGGAGAAAACAACCACAAGAAGAGGTGGTGATGGCGGCCGAAGTTGTCAGAGCGGAAAGCACTTCCGGCTTGGACACCATGTCTTCCCGCCCTCACTCCTAATCTATCCTTGTGTCACTGTGGATGACTCAAACTGCCGTCGCCAACATATAAAGCATTTTTTTGGAGGAAGGAGAAAATGGTGAGAAAAAGGTTGCAAGGTAGGGCGAAATTATTAAATGGAGAAAATATTTGGTTCTTGCAACTTGGAAAATCTAGTAATTAATGCATGGGTAATTAAAATAACTAGTATACATGACATACGCAAAGATTCCCAAGCCCATATTAGTGTTGGGCCAACTCAAAATAATTGAAAGGCCCTTCATTTGAAGAAGTAAAGATACACTGTGCTAAAATATTGTTAGACAGCTTATTAAATCAGTCTTATTCATTTTATTGAGCTAAGGTTACTTTAGTGTTAATTTTGGAGGAGGTAAGTAGGGACTACTATTTTTAGAGAAAAATTTACGGCTGGTAAATAGCAGTATTTATTTCTTAATGTAGTCAGTTGATATATTTATGCATATAGTCCAATGTTCCAATGAAACATATGAAGGTTCAGCACCGAAATACTTGCCATCATGGATAAAACGAGCTAAGTCGTCCTAGGTACCTGAAGTATTAAAATGTTCAGAAGGACTTTGCTGTTATGACAGAATAATTTGTCCAGTGTACCATTTTACAGCCGATAATTCACTGATTATAGGAGATAGATGCCTTAAAGTTTGCTAATCTCAGTGGAAAGCTGGGAGCCATTGACATTAAAAGCGTTTTCTTTGACTTCTGTCTGTCATCTTTGAAACGTCTACATTATTATGCTGGGCAACCAAACACCTCGTCATCTCACCGTTCTATGCTTGAAGTCTCGTGTCCTAGTTGGTGTTTGCGGGTTTTACACCTTAGGTCGTAAAAATTTGTTTATCAGCAGACTCTTTATAGATGCACACACTACCACTGCTACTTGCATTTGGAGGAGGGAGGGTTAACGCAAACGCCTTAGTCACTACAGTCCCGGGAGTGGACAGCAGTAAAAAGAGTGAAGTGAGATCGAAGGCGATTGCATGAGCTAGAAGAAGTCTAAATAATTTTCTGACCAGTATCTGTCTTATCTTTGGCCATGGACTAAGTACATAGTCTCTTGTTCTCCAAGCATGTGGGAGACGCGTTAAGCATTTGACTGATGCCTTATTTGCGGCTTTAGTTGCAGAAAATCAGCATTTGCCATTTCAATGTAGAATGTATTGACTTCTTCACGATATTTGCGCTAAACATGCTTGTAACTGCATATATTTGTATCTTATATTGCATATTTTAGCACAAATGGACGTTCAATTATAAATCAGGATCTGACTCTTTATAAATTCACCTTCTCGAGTTTCTTATTATTGCGTTTCACAGCAGCAATGCGGAGCTCGGTGACTAGAATTTGGTTCTTCCAAAGGTTCACAACCACATATCGCCTTTGTGGTTGACTTTGACAAAAAGATTAGAGTGAAGCCACGGATTTATGCTATTTTACTCAGGCTTTATAAAAATACCTACTTTTAGTCAGGAGAAGTGGGTCTAATGAGGATAGTCAAATCCGTAAAATCTTAGGATGAAAGACCCGCAAAAGCCCATTAAATAAACCGTATTGAAACAAATTAGTATTACGCATAGTAAATTTAACAGAAATATATGAGGGATTTTAAAAAGCATTCTAAGGCAAACGATAAATGCGTAGAATTCAAATACTTGGTAGCCGTAGATTATGCAATAACCTGAGAATAATACAGGAAGATAAATAAAGAATTGTAAGATAGTGATGAAGATGAATGAAATGCGTGGTATTCAGTTTCTTGGAATGTATTTGGATTTTGAAGAAACATTTCAACACAAAGCGAGTCCAAGGCTCGAGTTAAATTTATCATTAAATTTATCATTTAACATTCTCGATTGATACATGCAGGTAAAGAAGTGGACATCCATCATCAAAGCCACCAATATGAAGGAATTGAAAAATTTCTGGTAATGGTAAAATGTTGCCTAACGGCTGTCCATGTAGGAGAATCATTACCGCAGAGAACAAAAAATCCCAAGGAAAGATAAGAACGGGGATTTGAAGTGCGATCCACCAAAACACTGTAAAACTATGGAATTCAGGATCCTCTGCAATGGCTAAGTACTCCAAAACTTAGTGGAAAACAAACTTCTAATTTGTTTGTAATATTAGTTGAAACAACGGCAGAAGTTAACTTATTCTATTGTAAAAGTAGAAATGGATAAGTTTTAAATGCTATTCATTTCTTTAGCCTTAAGCGTAATGCATGGTATTTGTTCATTTAAAAAATATAAATGCTTTAATTCAAAATTTTATTAAATTTTGTTATCTTTGAAAAGGTTTTTTACAACCTCTCAGGGTTAAATCAAGGACTGTAAGCTCAAAACTTTATCCTTTCGCAACAGTGCGTAGATCAGGTTTTAAAATCGGTAAAATCATGATTTATTGCTGAACCTTCTATATTTCTGTGTTCTCAGATGGTCTCTGTCCATCATTTGGGGCGAGTTATTCACGGAAAAAACAGTACAACCATATTGATACGGTTAAATTGAAAGGTTACAATCCTATCACAAAAATTCATCTAAACATATTCCTTACTGACGTTTTCTTCCCGTCAGAGATGGTAAGTAGATACTGCATCCTTGTATAGTGATTTTATAATAAAGTATAAAATGAACAAAGGAATTTTAACAGTCACAGATATCTTTTATAAAATTAAGAACTGAATTGTCAAATGGTGGATTGACAAGTTTGAAATGCTTGACTAATTAATGTCACTTAGGAGGACTTCATCACTTTGGATTTTAAGTGGGAAATAAAAATTTGACAGTTTCACAAAACAACAAACATAATAGGCACTTAGATTTAAGGATTTTGTTTAACGAAATGTTTTATTCCTTTGCAAAAGTTTTGTTTCAATCAAACCCTTATCATCAAATTTCACATTATTTGCACCGCTTTCTTGGTTTCAGTGAGTATTCGGGGCGAATTCATTTAACTATCGTTTGTTAACAGCAGTAGACGAAGAAAATATATTTTCTTAATACTTTTTGCTGTACCCACTGATATTTTCCCACATATTCTGCAAAGTGATTTTGTTCCTGATCCATACTGTCCGAACAAAGATCGCTGTACCCTATTTGTGTAACGATAAGGGGTTGCAAAGACCCAAATCGTAATTCGTTACCGAATTTCATAAATCACCCTTCATTCATCCGTCCTCTAATTAGATCGCTTTCCCTGTAGAGGTGAGCGCTGTCATATTCAAGTTTTTTGACCATTTGCGGGATATTTTGCGTGTTTGATAAAAAAAGTTGCGCATAGGAATATTTGGTATCATAGTTATATTTAAAAATCGGCAAACCATAAGAGGCAGATCATCAAAAATTTAAACAGAAGAGGGAGAAAACGGGTTTTTAAATGAACCAAAAGTAGTTTATTTCAAACTTTAAAAACAGGGTTTTAAGTACGTGAAAGATGTCAAATTTTGGAGCAAGAGTGGCTTGATAATTCTATTAATAGGTGGGTTCTAATAGTTTGGTATTCTAACAAGGCGTATTTGTGACTGGCGTCAAGAATGTGTGACAGACGCTCTCTAACCTTTTAGCATAATCGCTGCTCAAAGTGGAATCGCGGAGGGTATAACACATGGTATTCTCCGTCTGAACAGCAAAAGTTAGCCCTTTGTGTGCCTCAGTGATCGAAGAAACCGGGTAACGAACGTGTTAAATAGAAGAAGAACAATTTTGGCATGAAATGCTGCTTTTTGAAATTAGTATACAAAAATTGCAGCCGCACAAGAAAATAACATCAAGTTTAATAGAATTTGGATTATAAAATGACTGATTCCCTATTAAAAGGCCAAATACATGATCCTACAAAGAAGTTTTAGCGAAATTGTTAAAATTTCCTTCCCTAAAATATTTCAAAATCTTTTATTACGCAGAAGTCAAAATATTGATGGAAAAACGATTTAACTACCGCAAAGATACACTCTTAAAAAAGTGCAATATTGTTCAAATATCCTTAACGGCCATTTATAGGTTTTTTCTTACGTAACTTAAAAATTGTTTTTTTCATTAAAAGTAGTTATGAGTGCAGAAGACTGGGTTCCCGTCCGCGTTAATAGCATGGCCAATCGGCAGCCCTGTACTTGAGTCATAATGGCTCAAAAAAACCTCATTCCGACGGTGGTGGGTTTGTGCTTCTTTCAGCAGTAAACTATGCGTGGAAGCATACTATTCCCTCCGTCTACATTCTGAATAGTCGGCTGGTAATTTAAGATACGGCGGAACTCCCTGCTCAGATTTGATTAAATTTATGTTCCTTTGGTTATCTTCACTCCTTTTAAGAGTAAAAGTAAATGCCAGCAGGAGAGTTCTAAACAGTTACGCTTTATCCACACCTAGCCAAAAGGCACCATATTCTGCTAAGATGAAAATAGAGAGCTAAAATTCTTTTTGTAGCTGCTCGGGAAACTCAAAGCCTTTAATTCAATAAAGCCATTAACGTGACCATATGGTGTTATAGAAGTGAGGAGCTGAAGGATGCAATCAAGCCTTCCATGACCATGCGAATGATTTATTGTCTCTGCTTTATTTTCATTGCCTTTTTTCAATGAATGTCTTTTCGGCTGTTCCTCGAGGTGGGTGGCCTTTTTACTTCTAATGTTGATATCACAAAATGATTTGCTCATACATGAAAAATAGTGGAAGAACTTAAATGTTGATGCCTTTCCTTAAAAAGTGGCAAATTTTTGCCTACGTTTAATTAAAAATGCCGATTATTATCACTAGCTTGACTCTTCCAAGTAAACGAGAATCTTAACTGCTATTTCAAAAATAGAACCTTCCATACAGGCCTTATAGTCTGACATATTTTGCATATGTGGATGTTACTTTTGCAGAAAACAGAACTACACGAGTTGATGACCGCATATGGATTATAAAATCAAGATCTTCAATGGTAGTGCAAGATTGGCTTTTTATCAAACTCAGAATTGAGATAAGTAGTATGCTGCGGGCATTCCGCCTGAAATATCAAAGTCATTTTAATCCCATTTAAATTGACCAATTCAAACTGACGAATGACTTTTACATTATGAAGATTGCTAGACAAAAGAGCCAATTAGTGATTGTCCTCCAAACAACTCTCATAACAGTTCTTTTATAGGACACTATTTCACGCATGACAAGCCCCAGACAGAAGTGTTCATTAAGAATTTTTATCGCTGATGGTGAGCAAACAGTTGCGGTTGGGATTTGCCCCAGGTAACTCAGCACAACTCAGAGGTCTGCCTAAAGAATTCCCCTGACATACTTCTGCCAGCCAAAGAAAAGTATATTTCCTACGAAACAACACATGGCTTCGTGCCTTACATCGTAGAACCTAGCCATGTGAAGAATCTTATTTCAGGATGAAAAGGAAGTCTGACCTCCTTCGCATTTTCTTGCTGATATATTCAAAAAGACCATAGTTTCCCGTTAACTTAGAAAATTCCATGCAAAATAGATGAGTAGGAAAGTAGTTAGACCTGAGTTTTTGCTTTTGGGAACAAAACAACCTAAAACAAGGGAATGTGTTTTAGCCTTATTAAGGAAGGGTTTAGGGTTTAATGATCAAAAATACGGCAAACAAACTAAACTTTTAGTTTTACAAACACTTTTCCTAAAAAGGCTCAGCAAACTCTTGTTCACCTTAATTTTAACAAAGATTATTTAAGCAAAAAGCACTTGATAGTTCTCATTACACGAGTCTCGGTACGGCAACATAGTTTAATACTGCTATTTACATGTAAAGTTAAATGCCATAGATTAAAAGAATCTTGGGTTTCATGCAATAAATGTGAACTCACACAATCACACAATGCGTAAGAAAGTGGACAGTTTAGTTTCGGCATGCTTGAAAAATTTCAAATTCATTGAAAATATTTAAGATTTTTTAGACATAAACCTATTAGTTTATTTTCCTTTTTATTTGGCATGGCCGTTAACAGTCCTCTATGTCCGTTGCACCAGTACTGCAAGGGAATTTAAGTTTATTCACAGGAAAATCCCGTGGCCAAATTTTCTTCACTAGAGCCCTTAAAATGCAATTTTTCGTACGAGGTTGTGGATATGTTTAACTCCAAGTGGTAACCCTTTCAACCTAATACCAATCAAAAATCTCCATGATACAAAATTACAAAAAAAGGAGTTGCCTACCCACTGGTACCCTTAAAGCTTCTACCGAGATCAACAATTCTTAGCAAACTTTGTAATCGGTGTACTTCTGATAGTAAGGAGAGCCTTAGAGGATAGTAACCATACATATTAATGCACTTCCATAAAAATATCCTTATTTAGTCAGTTATTAGTCGTCTGCCAATAAAATTAAACTAGAGGGAATCTCGTTCCCCCAATGTACATGGTAGCATTTTATGTTTATGTAGTATCACCGACTCTTAAAACCCATTTGCGATAACAAATATCAAAAACGTTTGTATTTGTCTCATTTTTGTTCACCTCCGGGATCACTTAAATGTCTTAATAACTCGCTTAACAAATAAAAATTCTTCTCGAATCATCTTAACTTCAGGACATGTAAGATACTTAATAGTCTTCGATAAATATTTGATAAAGCTTTCCCATTATTTACAAAATAACATAAGCCAGTTGTATTTCTTGACCATCATATGAATTTTCTAATTTCTTTCCCAACTCACATATCTGGATGTACACTGTAGATGAATTTACAGTTAAGGTGTAATCAAAAATTTATAGTTAATGTGTGCTCTGGACTATGAAACTGTTTCACATCCGGCATGGAGGATTTGAAAAGCAAGTCTTAAATGATTTCCTCTTTAAATTTTAAGTGAAGGTACACTGCTCTAGCGGATATTGTGGATTCACTTTAGTGAATGCCTACTTCCCTTGAGCCTGAAGAAACAGGATTACTGTGGTCACTGAGTTGTAACCTTTATGGTAACTTAAAAATAAGAACGTGTTTTATGTCAAATTTTGAGCCGAGGACATGAAATGCAGGGCAATATTTAACTGTTTCATCAAAACGTGGGCAAATTTCACGAGACAATTATTCTGTAGGTGGAACATAAATGCCTTTAATTTAGGCCTGAATCAAAAGAACGGCGCCTTTTAAGTTACGAGTCGACAGAAGCTCCCTTAGATCTGAAAACGGCGAAAACTTGTGATGAGCTGGAAAAGGTACAAAAAGACACTTCGATAAATGCTTCCGGTCTTAACTCCGGGATAGGGAATTTATAATATCTCTGAAATGCTAAGGTGCCTGACAATTTTGTTAAAAAATAGAGGCAATTTTAACTTGTTTTCAGATATCAAACAAGTCAATCATAGCCACGTGGTCATTGAAATAAAACGGTGACTCCAATCAAAGATGGGAAAATGTCAGTCTCGGCTGCATTTACCTAAATAAAGGTGAAAACATAGGGAGGAATTTAAACTTTATCTGCCTAGGTACAACCTCGTAGGTGAAAAAGCATTCTTATTATCTTCGGTCACGGAGCTAGTGGTGATAGTTAAGAACAAGAAGTTCCTTATGGTATTAGAGACCTACTTAACGTAGCTACAGGCTTAAAACTTTGACAAATTAGGATTATACCATCTATAATGCATGATTATGAAGCAACGAGGTGGCAAAATATCTAGTGTTTATTCGAAAGTTTCACGGAATGCAAAAGAAAGGAAAAGTAGTACAAAAGCAAATGAGGAATTATATCAATTAGGCAATTTTTGGTTAGGCCATGTGTTCACCATCGTTAACTCTTCCATCGTCGTTGTTTTCTTCATCATCTGGGTGTCGTAGTGTTGAATTTCGTGTCTTTTCTTTTAATAAACTAATAAAGAGTCCACTCTTTAAACTTTGTCAGAATTGTCCCAAGAAGTAAACGGGGAGTATTAATTGGTTACCACTGTGAAAGAAAATAGCTCTTGTTTATTTATTTGAATGATTTGACGAGAATCTGAATTTGCAGAGACTTAAGAGTGAAGGGATAATTAATGCAACATTAGGGCCAATCAGTCTTCCCAGTTGTTTTTTCTGTATCATGATCAGGGGTGACTGACGAAGTAGCAGATTTGGGCAATTTCACTGAATCTACCATGAAGACTGCTTAAAGTATTTATAAAAACGTCTAGAATTATGAGTGGGTGAGTCTTTCTACATTCAATCGGAGTGAAAGTAACAAAAACGCCCGCCTGGGGTATTTAAAAAATGGAAAAAAAATTAGCAAGGAGTAAATGCATTCCATCATTTGTTGGAGCCACCTTAAAATCAGTATTTCAATAGATACCTCTACTGGTAAGTAAACGTTCCTCGGAATAGCGATTGGTTCACGAAATGTACTCATTGCTATAACACCGACCCGTCTTTATCAATGAATTGTGCATACATCGCCACAATACAGTAAACACCGCATCGCTAAAGCTGAAATGGAATACCCACTCGCCTCAGTGGGTACTCAGTGTGCAATTCTTTAAAATTAAATGCTCCGTAATAGCCAATCCAGAAGGATGGTCGCTCTTTTTTTGAATCCCTAGATCTTAAAGAGTGGTGATTCAAGCAGTCACCAACTCCTATAAAAAGCCTATCTATTTCACAATTATTCCTAAATTATTTATCCTGTTACCCTAGGTCGAAACAAGTTAGGTTAAAATTATTGTTTTACCCATTGTCCCAGACACATGGTTCAAATCATGCAAAATAAATGTTTAAAAGATATGATCGGCAAAATTGGCAGGACATTTGGGAAAGCTAGCGCTAATGCTAATACTCAAATTGACCTTTACAATAAAATTTATAAATTTGTAAGTTTATCGGCTGCCAAAATAGGTGCGCTTGATCCCAAAGCAATTATTACGATGTACACAAATCAACAGGCAAAGGCTACTGTCATACCAGCAAGAAAAATGAACCCTATTTAAAGTAGATAAACAGAGTTTTAAAACCTCGTTTTCTACAATAAAATTTTGTAGAGAGAAATTTTGATAAAGCCTTCTTCATTTTCCTCTTAAAAATGTCAGCTTAGGTTTGAAATACGATCCTAACATTTTCAAAAACAAATATGATAAGTAGAAGGTGCATTTCAAGTGGATCGAGTGAATAACCGCGGTAGCTGTCAGTGAGAAGTAAGTATATACATACTTCCGAAATCACTAAAGGCTACGTCAAACGGGTTAAAAAATCAGTTGTCAAATTGTTTTTCTCAACAGCGATGACTCCAAATCCAGAGTTTTAGCAAAAAATAGGAAAATTTATTGCATTTTCACTAGGTAGTGAATGATTGGCACTTATGAACATTGAAGTTGGATTTAAAGTTGCATTCTGTTTTGGGAGTTTGGACATTTGTTGACATTGTGAAATTTAAGTAGCAGAACTTTTTGTCTTTTTGACTAAATGTTTTTTTTTCTGCTGCTCCGGTTGAAACAAATATGCGATATAAAAAGGTGTTGCTAGAACTGTTTATTTCACAAAGATCAAACCGCAACCACAGTAAGTAAGAAAATACTGATGATTTTCTGAGCTTAGGTCATATTTATAGGATTAATCACTCGGAATATAATTTTTTAGGCCGCTTTCGGGTAGTGCTTTCTGCTGTTGCATGCCACATTTCCGAATGTTCCGGAACTCACCTTTGGAACCATACATGTACTCTGTTGTCAATACTGGAATGCTCAAATTATACCTCTCAAGTTTAACCGGATCCAATGATAGAAAAGTTTACAATGTAGATTACTGTACTGATTAACTGGTGTAAATATACAAGTTGCATCACTTGGCATACACAGAATTTAAGAAAAGGTCCAACGAATTTACAAAAATTTTGCTTAAAATTTTAGCATCCCTCTTCGGTTTTAAATACAATAATGATTTTACAGATGAAAATAAATGCTCTGACCACGAAGGTATTGCGCTCTTTTAATTCTTTACATCATACGCACTTCTATTATATGTTTCGTAAAATTTTCAGGCAAAAAACTGAAAGTATTTTGCTTTCTTATCTTTTTTGGTTTAATGCCGAAACACAAGTAAACGATTCCGCTCAACATTGCCTTTCATTTCAGATTTTACGACTAAAGTAGCGTTATTTATTACCAAAGAGGAACAATCCAATTATTTTGTCGGCACAACAACTGGTCAACTTGTAAATATTTCAACTAAAAATACAAGTCTACTGAATGCCAATCAACTGGTTGTTTTTTAAATCATGCATGCATATTGTCTTAAAAATAGTAAAAAAAGGCAGTAGAATCCTGCAGGAGCTAAATTATAAGAAAATGAACGATTTTGCAGATTATACAAGTAAAACATAAATGAATTCATGCACTTCAAAAGTTGGAAGCTATCCGATTGAGCTATCTTATTAAGTGTAGGAACTTTTCTGACCATCAGGCCTTTTGCTGATTGGGCTACAATTTGAAATCTAACAAAAAATCACATTAAAACGGCTAATTTTTTGTCCCAGTCTTTATACTCTTGAGATGAGCAGACCAGTTGGACAAGGATATACTACATGGATTAGATAAGTCGGGTAAATGAGTTCAAAGAACTTTTCTTCCTCAGGTCCGATAGCGTCCCATCCGCCATGAGGTTCGTATTTACTGAACTGTTCTCTCCTACGATTTACATTCAAACAAACCTGTATTGTGTTTATTAGTTTACTGTATGATTCATTAGCGAGTTGCACGATTACGTTAAAAATTGAATTACGCACCAAGCTATGTGTAAATATCGTTTGTGCAGTTCCGACTTTTGGTATCCTAAACAATCATTAGAGAGTTTTAATTTTAGAGTTGCGAGTCTACCTCTCTAAGGATATTGCAATACATCATTATTATTAAAGTGATGAAATATTGTTTAGTAGCAAAAGATTCATTTTTTTATTCTTGAACTTTTCCATAAAACAATGTCTGTATGAAGGCAAGATTTTGCCATTTATTATGTGATTTAGAGAAATGCATTCAGGATTTCCAAAGGGCTTACACCTCCTCAACTCCATAGTTTATATCTAAAGATTAATTCCAATCTATTATTAGTTTTGCAATGCCACTTTAAGCTAACCCAAGGCAAGTTAAAATTTCCACTAACATTTAATCAGTCCTCCTTTAAGTTAGTTACTCATGGAAATGCTCGCTACATTAGTATGCGCAAATATTGAAATTTAACTTTATGAAATAGGTATAACAAATGTATGAGCAAATTTTGAGAAAATATAAAGGAATATAAGCAATTGCTTTTATTTCCTATTATGTCGACTTCTGAAAGCGCATATCAGTTTAGCATCTGGTGATTTAAAATACGAAAGGCATTGCATTTACAAGAACAAACTCGATATAGAACAACAAAGTGCCTAAATAGGCGTTATGCTAAAGCCTTATTTGGAATTCGTGCCTAAAACTTTGTGGCATTGAACACACCTTCTTATTAAAAGGGAGCAAAAAAAATGGTTCCCATTTTAATTAGATTAAGCCAAAATTGCACATTCACACTTGATGCGAGCTGTAAAAGATCAAATGGCTGTAGATCACAGGCGGTTACAGGTTCATTTAATCCCTAGAGTTATTGCTTTAACGCAGGCGTATCATACAAAGCTGTAGCGGTGAAAATCAACCACCGACGGTTTGTAGATGCTCCATTTTTCTGATGTGCCACCACCACACGCACCACCGGGCTGAACAAATTGGCTTCCTTTCGAAAAGCAGAAAAATATAATCATTTTCAAGCGTGAAAAATACTTGCCCTACTGCTTCCAACTTAGTGGCCTGCTTGCAGCAAAAACAGGTACCATCGCTCATATTTGCGATGCCAGAACGAAATAAGGAAAATAAGGGGTTGCACACTTTAGCAGAAAACGTACAGAAAATACAGGTGGGCAATGATGCCCTTTTTGGACTTGCGCGTAGCGAAAGATTAAAATCTTTGATGCGACAATTACATTTCCACTTATGTGATGTCTGTAACTAAACTATTTCACTTTTTACCACAAATGGATGCAGTTGCATATTTTGGACGCAGAATGTTTAGTTTTTTGTTTAAAATTTAAAGAAGAAAACATGGTGAGTCCCTCATATTTACTGTACGAAATTCCATTAAACTGGCATTTAAATGTGCGCTAATAAGAAGGGAAGCGAAAATTAGTGCAATCCACCCCTTTTGCCACAGTAATAACAAAATTATCACAATAGAAGTTCTGGGCGAAGGGAAAAAGCTCAAGGGATTCATTTGAATCTTTTCGCCTATTTCCACAAGTATTGCTTAGCGTCAGGTTTAAAGCAATACATGCAAGAAATTCAGATTTTTAAGACACGTGTTACTCTCTGGATGAAAGGAGTTGCTAAGGTAAGATCTTTAATAAGAATCAGGCCCCGTTCATGTAATCTCTGAAACTCGGAGGCAATGAGCCGAAGCTTCTGGGCCAGTGATACCTCCGAAACGCAATCCTCTCGTTATCTTCACTTCAATCTATTGAAGACATATGCTTAG